GAAGATGAAATTCGTACAGCAAATATTGATGTCCGGGCAAAAGTAAGCAACATTGACAGTATGGATGCAGCGGGAAATGTTTGTAATGCTTATGCTGCAGATGCGCAGGAAGTTGAAGAACTAAATTGCAAACACTAGCATAATAATACGCACATCAACCGATTTTATCGATGTCAGTCAGTGGCCTGTTAAGATTGGCCATGAAGTTCTCACAATGCTTGCTTGGATCGGCTCAACTGTTGTGCATCACGTATATCATGAATCCAATAAGTGGTGCTACCTGGACTTACTACAAATGCTAAGGTTAGGAAGTCAACAACGAACTGTTCTTTGCGAGCGTTGCGAAACGGTGGGCAAAGATTGCGAACACGGATGCGTATTCACCTTCAAAAGGGATGCTGTTTTGTTTAGATTACAGGATGTTTTCGAATGGATAATCTGGTTTTCCGACTGATGAAGGTTTTAAAAACTGGTGGAAACTAAATCCAAAAGCATGTGAACATGAATCTAGTAAATCGCTTGCTCAGTCATTTTTAAACCACAAGTAGCTAGCGATCCGGCTAGCTGAAGTAAAGGCAATTGACAAAATAAAACTGAGACTTGTAAAAAAGCGTGTTGGAGCGAAATTCCAGCTAGAATACTTGATATCATCAAGTTTCTCGCCAGGCAAAACATGACACCATGTGCTCAACGAAAAGACATCCAGCACAAGAAAGAAGACCATGAAAATTGAGAGCATTTTTTGGAATTCATTAGTCAACTATGAACTTGTTCTTCGTGAACATTTGGTGACAATTCAGATAGGAAGGAAAACGAGCACTTTCTTCTTTATCGCCACATGTTAAAAATGAATTAGTGAGCATTTTGTTAAAGTAGGTGAGAAAGCAATTCATAGATCAGATCAAAGCAGGCAAGTATGTTTGTGTACTTTCTGATAGCATTGCCGATGTATCTCACAAAAATCATACGGGTGAAAATGAAGTGGGGTTAGAGGACTCGTTTCTCAGCTTCATTGGGAAAAACAACAAAAGAGCGGAGGAAGTTACTGAACTGGTTTTGAGAGAACCGGAGAAGAATGAAATTCAGCTTGATTACTGCCCTGCCACCATCGCAATGAGGCCGGACCTTACCGTGGTGCGATGGTTTGTGTGCCTCAGTGATCCATAGGGCTATGCTGAGTGGTGCTTTCGTTTGCACCTTTAGACTCACTCATACCAGATTGGTCAACGGTTAGAGGCCAGACAAACTCAGCCTCCTGGTCCTCCAGGTTGGGGGTTGGAATGAGGGTGGCTCCTTATTCCTTAAAACGGACTCCTTGTAGTCCACCGCCAAACCCGCTGCCTTGCCGTCATGTTTTTGAACCCGGCGTTGTTTGCTCGCCGGGGGTGTGGATGAAAGAAGAGGAGGGGTGGCCAAGCGATGATTTGGTCGAGTTGAATGAAAGCCTTCATTTCGGAGCTGGCCTCGGTTGGAGAGTCACGGCTCCCTGGTTGGGGTCCAAAAGACAATGAACACGTTTGGCTAAATCCACTTGCTGACATAGCAAAGAGCCGGCCTCAGTGGCGTTCGTGTTGTGAGTTTCTTTGCCCCTCCCCATCCCTTTTAGCCTCCACCTTCAACCACGATCTCATTTCGTAGCGTAATATAATTTTACACAATAATTTTTCTTTTTGCCTAGTAGCCGGCTGGTAGCTTACCGGAACGATGCTCATCCGTTGCTGGTAGCTCAGCTGGCATGCAATTATTGTATTTATTTTCCTTTTCTTTTATGTATTGCGTCACAGTAGCTGAGGTGTTCCCCACCTCTAGCTGACATGTTTAATGGTGATGACTGCGCTGCCCAGGCATCCGACAATGTTGCTGTTTTGGCAGGCTATCAACCGAGGGAGTACAGGGACACCTGTGAAATCAACCCAAAGCTACATTCGTGGCAGACATCAACAAATCCGCGAATTTGGCCTGTCTACGTCCAGTTTATTGGACGGTTCATCCTGTTAGATTTTTAGAATGGCGGACCAGTTTTTCTCATTCTTTTTCATCTAACTATTGCTGGAATGTCTTAATTCAAGTCACTGGTCGATATATCAAGTATATAAAATCTAGATGGATTAGTCGAACAGGCCTTGTAAATATTTTGATGAGGAAGTCCTCGGAATTCATCCTTTCTCTGAAACACTTCACAGAAAAGAAAATGCTACCATAAGATTAGGTGCATCTTCAGTTCTCATCTCAGTATTGTCATTTCCGTTTATTTTGTTTCTGAACCGTTGGAGATCTGTTCCCAGAGCAATCAAGAATGCACAGATATTTTTCTAAACCAAAGGGCTGGATCTGCAGCAAAGTTTTGTCAAGCTTACAACGTTAAGAATTTGCCTTCTTCAGAATAGAGAGAAAATGGTGGACATTGCAATGGATGAATCCAAAAACTTCAAGTTGAATTGGGGATAAGCATGAAGCGTCGAAACCGGCAAAAGTAACCCATGGACGGTGAAGAATTGTTGGACAAAACGATGTGAGTTGATGCTGAGTTAACACGGGAAACGAAGTCCGCCATAGACTGTTTGAGTAATTATCATGGATTACAGCATATTCATGATTTTGCAGACAAATATGGTTTTCTTACACCGTCAAATCTGTTTGATGATAACTATGGTAGTCCGCTTAGCGAAATTGAGTGATTCTTTTCCGAAAGGAGGTTTGCAGTATTTTGTGAAAGGAGCGGGAAATGACACAATTAATGAACCTTCTGAAACTTAACTTCCTGCAGAAATATCACATTGGGGAACCTGCTGCGATCTTTCTTGCCGGAACTATTAACATTGCCAGCTGTGAGACCGCATTTTTAATACGCAAGATTATAACGAAGTAACACTAAGCGCCAATGAACTAGACAAGTCTTATGGATTGGCTGTTCTCCACATAGAGAAAGAACTTGGCAATGGACTGTATATTAATAATGCTACCATTACTCTTACTTAAATAGTGCAGGAAAAGTGTATCAGTTAATTTCGATCACGAGTATTGCAGCAACACAAGTAGCTGTCATTATGACAGCACTCTAAATTTAGACCTTTGATCGTTGCTATATGCAACGAAATTTTTAAGGTCTGTTGGCATTTGTGTGGGTTCACGGACCTAGAAATGCCAGGGGGGGCGATAATTTTACATCCGAACTCCAGCTTCCTACCTTTGACATTTCTAAGCCCCGTGTATGGTTTATTCAGGTAGAAGCTACTTTCCGATGTCATAAGATTACTTTGCAATCTTCCAAGTTTTCATACGTCATTTCGAGCTTACCTGTCTTCGTTGCCCGTTAAGTCATTGATATCCTTGATCCTATGCCTGCAGAAGCGCCGTATGAGAAAACTTAAAGCAGCTATCCTTAAACGCACCACTGCGTCCGGTGAGACTCGTCTGCAACAGTTACTTTCCGGCGTCGAGCTTGGAGATCGCACCCAATCTCAGCCTCTTAGATACATGCGTTTCCTAGTTGGTTCGTCGAAACTCGACGACTCCATACTCCGCCAACTTTGGACGAAAGGTCTTCCGGCAAACGTCATGGCGGTTTTATCAGTTCTTAGTGACGATGTTACTTTAAAAAGCTCGCAGAAGCTACAGACAAAACGCACGAATGTTTCTTTAAGGATACGCCTAATCACGTAGCTGAGTCCCCCACAGCCAGCTCATCTCATAGCACTACGCTTGATTCGATCAAAGACAGAATCTCACGTCTAGAACTCAGCATATCTGCTATTCGACGTGAACGCACTACTAACCGAAGGAGTCCTCCTGGTCCGCGCCGCGGCACATCATGCTCACGTCAGCGGTCGTACTGCTACTGCCACCGTCGCTTCGGTAAAACTGCAAGTAATTGTCGTCCGGGATGCAACTGTCCAAAAGAAACTCTGATTTCGAAACCGGGAAACGCCAAAGGCAGCCAGTAATGGCGAAGGCTTTCGTTGGCCAAATCCTCAGTCGCCTTCTGTACGTGTTCGACTCCACGACTAAACTTCATTTTTTGGTTGATACGGGCGCAGTAATCAGCGTTATACCACGATCTTTGGAAAAACGCGCGCTGCAACAAGCCGGACTTACGTTACAGGCGGCTAAGCAGACTAAGATCGCGACATACGGCCAGAAGCTGTTGCACCTAAGCCTTGGTTTACGACACGAACTTCCTTTTATTTGTACCATCGCAGATATCCAACAACCGATAATTGGCAACAAGCTTTTTAGCATTTTCGGCCTCGTCGTCGAGCTAGGTTACAGGAAGTTACGGGACAACAACACTTCGTTCGCTGTCCCTTGCCAACTCACCCCAATCACTTGCGTCGGACTTCGCGTACTCATGCCAGACAGTAGGCCGTATTTATCATTTCTGCAATAATTCCCGTCTTTAGTCCGTACTAATACCGACTCCACCGAGCCTAAACCCGAGGTTCGTCATCATCTCCTCACAATGGGTCCACTCGTGAAAGCCAACCAGAGACGTCTGCCACCTGACAATCTACAAGCGGCTAAACGAGAGTTCGAGCAGATGATCAACCTCGGCACCATTCGCCCATCCAACAGTTGTTGGGCTTCCCTACTTCAGCTAAAACGAAATGGAGCCATCCTGCAGTGCTCGTCTTCTCAATGTTTTATTCAGACTGATACAGGTAACATGACGCTTTAAATTTTACCTCCGCCCCTGGCGGCAAATGTACTCGCTACCCCACTGGAGGTAACTAATTCTAGGGGTATTTCGTCGTAAGGAATTCTACGTTAAAAGCTAACGCTGATCGGAGAAACTAATGTGAACAGTCGTAAGTACACAATACAGCTTTGAAAATTGCTATTCAAAACACAGGTTGAAATAGTTTGTTTTTCATAAAACGTACCAGTTAGAAGTATGGGATTTGTCCAGGAAGGCAGTAGATTATTTCATAAAGTGTCAGATCTAACAATAGCATTCCGGTTGAGAATTTTCAAATAAAACAATGAGACAAGTACCAGCTTACTCCGAGCGCTGGAACGCAAGGTCACCAATTGTTCCCAATACATCTTGAGCGGGAATCCCGGAAGCTCGGGAATTCGATCTGCTAATTACTGGGCTTCCGTCATGTCCATCGTGGACCTCCACTGGAAAAATAGCAGGCAAAAGGACAGTGTTAGTTGAATTGCTGGGAATAGATACACACTTAGATCCAAAGAGTAGAGTGAATATAAACGAAAACATGTACATGTTTTCTTCATTACGAGGTACTTTGACCGTTTATCATTTTTGGGCTCAGGTACTGCACATAGTTGAATCCAAGTAAGTCAGCACACAAGTACTTTTTAGTGGAGTCGGTTTTTCCCTAATTTTTCGGCGTTTTGAACAAAGTTGGCTTTTCATTGTTGAATCTTAGCTAGTAAGATGCATTGAGCAAACTATAACTGAACAGTATTCATGTTTGGCAGCCAATCAGTGGATTTACCACCGTACCATTTTCTCACGTCACCCTGCGTAAGCAACTAAAACACAGGAATGTGAACGCCCGTATGCCCTGCGTAGGACATGTATCTTAACTGGCGGGACTAGACGAATGTTGCAAACGATATTTCAAATTCCGGATCCTTGCCGTCCTACTTGATTGGCACAAAACCGGTGGTACAGCTGCGCGAATAGACGTCACCGGATTCTGAAATCCATCCAATGCCACCCACAGTGATGACCAAACAAATATGTAGATGCAATGTTTCACCTGCTAAAACATCGGTGACTGGAAACTTTAGGACTGTAAACCGGAAGTCATCGCCGTCTACGGGACAACTACAGTCTGGTGTAACAGATCTTGAAAAACCCTAATCCTGCTTGCCGCCACCTCCCGAAACTTTGTCGCAACAGCAAGTTGAGAGGTCACCACTTGAAAATGGCCATCAAATAAAGTCGGCTGGAATGCCACCGGAATTATTTTTATATTACTCGTAAGTGGCAGAATGTTAGTGGTAATTTTGTTGAGGTTTTATCCCAGTAGTTCATAAGCTACATAACACAGACTAGTCCGGAAAAGCACCAGACGCGTTTCGCCATATTGGGGCTCCTCAATAGTAGGCATTCCCTCGGTCCTCTAAAAAGGATCGGATCCATGAGCATTAGCGGCAGATGCCAACTAGCCAGCAGCTTAAACGACTGAGCCATGGGGGATGTTGTAGGTAATGCAACCTCATTCGACACTAGTCATTTCTGCGCCCAAAGTACCCAATTTAACCAAAGGACTTAACGATGCATTACATAACCTAAATTATTTGATTTAACTTCCCTTCATTGAGTGAGGAAAAGACACAGACAAACATTGTGCTCACCAGCCCCACGAAATCGGAGTAGACAGATATACCTATGTGTATAAAATGTTTCGGAAAACTGGGTAGCTCAGGTTGATAAGTCAGTTGCTCATTTGTTCGCCGAGCTGGGAAATTTGTTTGCAAACGTTTCACCACCATGCGAGGCGGCATCATCAGTGCGTCAAGATGTGGAGTGTAATCTCGCTGATTGCACTGACGATCCGTGATCGGCGTGCAGGTGACTTTTAGAAAGTGACGGCTTCGATCGGTGTCCCGTGATCTCTACCCATTTCTCCGTGGCGGAGGTCGTCGCTCGGGTTGTTCCTATTCAAGCGGCGTCTCATAATTTCTCTAAGTTCTCTCCGTCGGAGGGGTTGGTAAACTGGGTCAATCTCGATATGCATGTTGATCGAATCTTTTGTTGAAAACCACGCTTCCAGGAACTTCGTTTCTCTTCTTGTTTCACTTCATGCCAGGACTTCTGTTTTGGCCCAATCAAAGCTGTGGACCTTTTCATCCCCGTATGTCTGTCAACTTACTACACTTTCAACGTGAAAATCTACGAACAGTTGAGAGGCACGACAATGGGATTAACTATATCGGGAATCATCCCGGAGTTGGTAATGCAGAAATTGGAGGGAGATGTACTCCCACTCATTAATCCGAAACTGTGAGTCCGATATGTTGACGACACTTTTGTGATCATCAAACGCAGTCAAGTTACAGTCGCACAGCAGCTATTGAACAACGTCATTGAAGATATCCGATTTATGATGGAAATGGAGAAGAAAAACCAATTGCCTTTCCTGGATGTATTAGTAGCCAAAACCATGGAAGGGAGGCTGCAAACATCAGTTTACAGAAAATGGACACATACGGACCAAATTCTGAACTTTAACAGTAACCACCCGAAAAGCCAAAAAGTAAGCCGTATGTGGACACTATTTGGCAGAGTGCAAACACACTGCAGTACCGCGGAGGCAAAGCAACACGAAGAGAAGCACCTGTTTAAATGTTTCCAACTCAACGGATACCCGCGAAGCTTCACCCGAAGGTGTCTGAACCACAACAAACCAAACAGACAGTATATACCAATGACAGAGAGATGCGTTGTATTAACTTATATGAAGAATATATCCGAAATGACAACAAGACTATTCAAATTACATCACCTCATCGTAGCACACAAACCAATTGCCACATTGAGGAAAACTCTGTCGAAACCGGAAGAGAAACTGGAAGCTCATGAGCAAAGAAATGTTATATATGGGCTAAGTTGTAGAAATTGCGAAAAGGATTATGTTGGCCAAACAGATAGGAAAATAGCAACACGAATGCAGGAACACAAAAGAGCATGCAAAAGGCACTATGCATCATCGCTAGTCTCAACACACGTGGATGAAAAAGTACACAGCTTTGATTGAGCCAAAACAACAGTCCTGGCAGGAGGTGAAACAAGAAGAGAAAGGAAGTTCCTGGAAGCGTGGTTCTCAACAAAAGATTCGATCAACATGCATATCGAGGTTGACCCAGTTTACCAACCCCTCCGACGGAGAGAACTTAGAGAAATTATGAGACGCCGCTTGAATAGGAACAACCCGAGCGACGACTTCCGCCACGGGGAAATGGGTAGAGATCACGGGACACCGATCGAAGCCGTCACTTTCTAAAAGTCACCTGCACGCCGATCACGGATCGTCAGTGCAATCAGCGAGATTACACTCCACATCTTGACGCACTGATGATGCCGCCTCGCATGGTGGTGAAACGTTTGCAAACAAATTTCCCAGCTCGGCGAACAAATGAGCAACTAAATACCTGTGGATTAACGTGGATAATATGGTGCGTCCACAGATGCGCTTTACAAGTTAGTATAACTTCTTTTTCGAACTTCGTAATTCACAAAAATCATCCCACCGGAGCTGTCAATTTTTGGCTTTTTGTCCATATTATGCCATTGTTCCATTGTTCTAGTTGTAGTGGTTAGGGCTCATTTCCATGCAAGAGCAGGGCACCAACGTGGGTGCCGATGGAGCGATGTCCTGACGACGCCGCAACTAAGACTGCTATCACTAATCTGTCAGTATCGTTAAAAAGGGAGGTCTTTCCAACAGTTCTTCCCGAAGAATCACAATCCATAAGTTGAGAGATGTATCCAAATGACCGAATTGAACAAAATCATAGGTTAGTTTAGGTGCGAGCATTTAGCAACCCCGAGCGATACCTCGTAATTCAAACGGGCAAAGGATAATATGTGCTTGGTTTTCTCAATGGTCAAACAATCCAAACTGATAGGTACGTGCGGTGTGCGTACTTTGATGAAACTCCTATACTTAGATAGATCTAGGACACCCGCTCGCATGCGGGAGAAAGCTAGCAAGAAAAATTTTGCGAGCCCTTCAGTCCTCTCGACAGATCATGCTCTGTTGGTAGAAGGCCTCTTATGAGGGGTATTTAGTGAACACGGACCAAGTGGACGTATCCCACGAAAGTAACTTTTCCTGAGCTGAAATCGTCACCAGTGTTCTTAAATCTTAGCGCGCTTGATGCTGGGCTGAGGGAACAAGGGGCCTCACCAATTCTAGTGGCATGCTCTTTCAAACACACTGTAAACCAGTTACCGTGCATATTTTACTGTACTCTACAAAGCAAATCATTAGAAAGTTGGGATAAACTTTCAAACCTTCAACATCACAAACTTATAGAACATGTTAAGAGGAGCAAATCCTAAGTAATGAATCAGTGGAACATATGTGGACAAAAATCTAAACTTTCTGCAGAAATCCAGAGGGATGATCGCAATGGGCGACCAAAAGTATGTTCTCGGACAAACTAATACTATTATTGGTAAGCACGGAGTAGGAGACAACAGAGAGCATTCAATTAAGTCACTAAGAATATATTAACAATGGTAGTTTGCACCCGTATTCCTGGTGACTGAAGCCTCGCCTTCCTGATCATCCAATAGGAGCGTCCGGGTTCAAGACAGCCAATCAGAGTGACAAAATGGGACCTTGGTAACCATAAGAAAACTGATATCACAAAGCATATTTTATCCATCTGTATATCAAACAGTTGTATACTTGCTCCATACTGCTTCTTAGTCCTTTCCTTGAGATTCTTTAGCAAGTACATCCAACGCTTACTTTGCCAATGGTTTCTCCATCATGAGGTACCCTGAATTTACCTACATGCGGAGGGTCCATATATGCTTCCAGGCTCAGTTGGTATTTTCATGTTTCCGATGACTGTGCATAACCACATGTCTTCATCTGCAGTACGTTAGGCTTCATTCGATTAATTATTCAACAACAACAACAACAACAACAACAACAACAACAACAACAACAACAACAACAACAACAAATAACAACAATAATACTACAGGTCCACTGAAACTAAGGAAACAGTCGCTGCAATACGATGCTATGCTCAGCGACCCGTAAGTGAAATACACCCAGATTTCAACTGTTAAAGGTTCCATTAAAAAGTTCACCGCAATGGAAATAGATTTTCTCCGCATTTCAT